AAGATAAAAGATACTAATTTTGGTTTTCAATAACACGAAGAACATTGTATGTAGCATCGTATTTCTAAAACTCAAGTTGCTTGTGTATTGCCATCAGGTCTAAGTTCCAGTGGTTATCATGGTGTTCACAATTCAGAGTGGAGCTTTTGTAGTCTATATGTACAACCTACCTACTCACACTGCCATAAAAGTACAGTATTTGAAGGTTTTGCTCACCCTCTGTCTCTGGTGCAGATAAAATTTGGTCATAAACCTAAAAACCTTGCCTAAAATCTTGTTATTACAAGACTGCTCTCTTCTGTTCGGCTGACCATTATTTGATCATAATATTAGCATATCTCTAAAGAGCGAATATTTATAGTGTGTGTGTGTGTGTGTGTGTGTGTGTGTGTGTACATACATACACACATATATACACACAGACATACACGGAGGTGGGCAAATGTGTTGGTACCCTTACAGTCCATTGAAACAATGCCTTATTCCTCCTAACAATTGATGAAATAAAAAGCAATTACTCCATGTATACCTGCATGCATTTCGTATATCAAAGAGTTGGGCCCCATTCATACCAGGGAGGAATCGTTTCAGAGCGGTTTCCGCGCAATTTTTGAAAGGGTGTTTTTGGGCGTTTTTAATTGCGTTTGTGCGCTGAAACGCAATTAAAAATGCCCAAAAAGGCGCTTATCAGCATGTTTCCATTGAAATCTATATGGTAAACGTACTGATCAGCGTGGAAAAAGTAGCTCAGGGAACATCTTGGGGGCGGCAGGCAGTTCGGATCACCGGAGCCGCACGATTGCATGAACGCTCCCCATAGGAATGTATGCGATTGTTCCGACCGAACCTCCCTGGTGTGAACGAGGCCTAAAGCAAAGGATGTGTGAAAACAGATACATTGTTGCTTATTCTACATATAGATATGCTACAAATGGCCGAGACAGATTTGATGTCCAGAACATGGACCAGAGAAAGCAAGAGGAGAATGTTGTCTGAGCAGATCAGAAAGAAAATTATAGACCAGCATGTCAAAGGTAAAAGCTATAAAACAGTTAATGTTTCTGTGACTACAATTGCAAATATTATTAAGAAGTTTAAGGTCAATGGGAGTGTAGCCAACCTCCCTGGATGTGGCTGCAATAGGAAAATGTACCCCAGATTGCACAGAAGGATAGTGTGAAACCTTCCAAAGAGTGACAAGCTGAATTGCAAGATCAAGGTACATCAGTGTCTGACCACATCATCTGTTGCATTTTGAACTCAAAGGAAGAAGAGTCCCCATTTTGGGCTCAAAGGAAGAAGAGTCCCCATGTATTTATTTCAAGTTTAGCATTTTCAGTTTGACAGGGCTCTACATTTTAGATTGGATCCTTTATAACCTACTGAATCATTTTAATTTCACTAAAAAAACAAGGCTAATATGACATCTGTTACCGCTCTGTTATCAAGTATTACCATCTCATGTCAATAAAGACAGCTGAATCCCCTCCCACATCTTTAGGACAACAAAGGCCATTTGCAACGTGAACCACTCTCCCTGTACTAAAACATATCCATACAGGACAAAAACAAGCAAACTTTTCTGCCAATCTCTTCTTGATATATAACCTGGGCTTTGGGGCTTCTGCAAGAGCTCATTATTTTAATGCAGTCACAGCACATATAATATGCTGCTTGGTGGAAACCAGCCTCTTGTATATCTCTTAAAGGGTTATTAAACCCTCAGGTGTTTTTGCGTATATCTACTGCTAGCACGCAGTAGATATATGCAAAAACTTTTTTTTTTAAACCGCTTTAAAAGAGGTTTAAACTTACCTGTTTCTTCTCCGCGTGCTCCCGTCCGAAAATCTGAAAAATCTCAGGCGGCCGCAAATGATCTTGGGGCAGGCACATGCACAATTCAGATTTTCAGCCGGGAGATGAGGAGAGACACAAGGTAAGATTATGGACAGCGTGCACCCTCAGGCAGACACCGTGGGACAGGAAGCGCCAGCAAGCACAGAGGAGTCAGCGCTGGATCGGAGACCCGCAGCAGCGTTGTAGGGACAGATGAAAAGGACAGGAAAGAAGAAGAAGATCGGATTAAGAGACATCATTTCAGGTAAGTGTTTTCACTAACATTGGGGGGAGGGAAAACATTTTTAGTCTTTAATGTCACTTTAACTACTAGGCTTTATTGTTGAGATGTTTTCAGAGGAGGAGAGTGCTACAAGGGACAGTGATTGAGCAGAAAGCAGTGGGTGCTTTGGAAGAGGGAGGGTAGTGGAAACGTCAGGAATAAGCCAAAGGTCGGCAACAGGCTAAAGGTCGGCCACAGATCAGCAAAAGATAATGCCAAAGTCACAAACAAGTCATGAGTCAGCAGGATGAGCAGGAGATGATACTTAGTCAAGGGAAATCCAATGTCCTGGAAGAAGTCAGTAAACTGGCAGGTAATGCACAAACTCAAGGTAGCTACTAAAGCTACATCCAGGGACAAAACCTAAGCTATTGTTTTATTCTGAGGTCCTAAGAGCACTCCATAAACATACAACAGTGATAATAGGCCTGAACACCAGACAGGACCAATGCAAACAGGTGGTACATCTACAAGCCAGGCCTTAAGAGTTACTCGCCACCAGTTGCCCACCTAACCCCTACCCTGCCCTGGCCTTAACTCCGCTCCTAAACACACCCTCTTAAATAACTTATAAATTACACTGTTAGATGTTTTATGCAGAATAAAGTTACAAAAATAAATATTAACAACAACTCCCTTCTGATCTAGTGTGATTAGTAAGGTCTGCAGACATTACTAATCACTTCGTTTTCAACCCAGAGCTCAGTGAAGAGCTGGGGCTGAAAGAACGGAGAGCCCAGCATGAGCAGCTGCTCCCATGAGGCAGGTATGCGGTCTGTGACCGCAAGCCTGATTGAATTTCCACTCGCCTGCACTGCATCTTCCAGCTATGCGGGACTACAAGTCTCAGCAATACATTATAATAAAAGTCAGCTATGCAGAATTAGACCAGCATCCCCCCCATTATAATGCGTTGCTAGGACTTGTAGTCCTACAACGTTGGAGCTATTCTGCAGTGCTGTATAATCAGTCCCAGCAATACATTATAATAGACTTACAGACTTACCTTCTGTCTCCAGCAGGGACCTCTTCTTCGTCTCCGCAGCCAGGGGGCAGGGCTAAGAGGAAAGGGTCGTCGGAGCATTATGTACTGCCCGGCGGTGCCTGCAGCACATTCTGCGGGACCAGTGTGACAGCCTCTCCAGCCCTGCCTCACAGCCGCCCGTACATGCTGCGGACGGCTGTGCGGCAGGGACGGAGCGGCACTATCTCAGGGGGGGGGGGCTTCTTCGCTGGGCCCCCCCAAGTGGCGGAATGCCAGGGCCCGTTCGCGACCGCTGCGACCCTGTTAGTTCCGCCAGTGGTAAACATACAACAGGTGTTTCTAAGCTGTCAGAGACCCACTGAAACCAGTCTTTAGAGTCTCTGCTGTCATCTTTGAGGATAAATTACCTCACGATACATGCAGCTAGAGAGGTCATTGATTACTTATTTTAAAGCTGTTTTACTGCTTAAGAATATGTGCAAACTTTAATGTTTATAGTCTGGACACAGGTATACTTTAAGAATCTAATGCCTAAGATAAAGAAATGTCTCAATTAGAAGTGCACCGAAATAGAAATTTAGAAACCGAAACAAAACAAAAATAGAAAAAAATGTCAGGCCGAAACCGAAAATATCGGCAGGAAAATTGCACTTTCGGCATTTAGCCAAAGTGCCATTTTCGGCCGATATGTTTCTGCGGCCGATATATCAGTGCATTCCTAGTCTCAATTAAATGTTCTAGCATTTTTGTGCAATGAATGTATTATATTAAAGGAGAACTATGGGGTCAGTGTTTTTCCCCATAGTTCTCCTTAGGCTAACGGGAGGACACAAACTAGCATCCCCTCGTTACCCTAAGCTCGCGGTATACTGAGACGCCGCAGCGGATCCCGACCTGGACGTCGGGATCCGCCCAGCTGCGTGAGTGACAGCTGGCTCTGCCTATCTAGAGAGCCAGGTGTACCCGCCCCCTCCCTCGTCCGTTCCGCCAGTCAGCGCTGGCAGATCGGAGCGGGGAGAGGGGAATCCAATTTTGTTTTGCTGGAGAGGGGAATCCAGCCCCTCCCCCTGTCACGGCAGAGAGCCGTGACAGGATCGAGAGGTGAGCGAACGCCGGTATGTGTTCGCTCACCTCCCGATCTACTGAGCCGACCTGTGACAGTCTCATTGTCACAGGTCGGCTAGAACTATGAGGTGAGTGGAAATCACTCATCTCATAGTTTTCCTTTAACTCTGTACAAACCTTCAAGCAAGTTTATCTGGTTGTGTCTATCTATGCTCTTCTTTCTCTCTTTTCTGGTTGACCCTAATCCTAATTTACTGTATTAGATGATAGTTCATAACTGAATCTTGGTTTTCAAAGAAGATAAAAGTATCATAGAACAAAAAATAAAAATGTCCATGTATGCTGCAAACTTTACAGACAGACCAGACATTAAAGACCTACATTTTCACAAATGTAATTGCTGTCAATATCAGTATATAAATGTGATTTGATTGTTGATCACACTAGGTTTTTTTCACCTGAAAGCCATATCCACTAAATAGTGCAGGTTAGCCAAACGCTCCACATACCTATTCAAAGTGTCATAATTATGTTACAATCATTTATGAACTGTTTGTGCAACAAAGTGCCCGCAGCTTTCCATTAAAAACCTTTGAATAACTCCAGTCTTGGTCCAGTTCTGAGGTAGGTAGCAAAAATTGACAGAACCAATCAGCTGTTCAATGGAGTAAAATAATATACATACATTTTAGCACTTTATTTCAATTAAAATTGTTCTTACATGATTTAAATGGCTGTTGACATGTAAGTTTCCGTAATACTATTTACAACATAAAAATGCACTGCTCCCAGGATATTCCCTTATGTAGCACACATCGAAATCTTCGGTCATCAGTAGAGTTTCTTGGAGCCGGAATCCTTTTGGCTTCTTCTAAGAAAAGAAATACAATTAATTAAACATAACTAAGAAAAGCAGTGCTCAATCTATATTTTCCTGGATTGTTTTTGTAATTTGTTAGTCTTTATGAGGTTCCAAATTGCAAAACCTGTGCTTAAATTACATCTATAGCCCAAAGGTTTTTTTTTTGCTTTGGATAAAATTGGTAAAGCATTAGAACTCCCGTTAGGTTTTATTGCTATCCAGGACTCCATTATAGAGCTTTCATCTTTTTATCCATTTGCCACCTCCAGAGGGTCACTGGGGATGCTAAAATTGACTGTAGTAGCCTGTTACATATAGTTTATCGCTGTCCTGCTCAGGGTGCTGCTGGAGCGACTTAACATCTGTACACTAAACACAGGAAGTCGCTGGCTCCCATACCTCCGTCATTCAGAAAACACCTTGTATTTCTTTCAATGAAAAAAAAGCATTCTGTGATTGTACGAGGTGGTGATTGTGACATCACTTACCTCTCTACTCTGTCTTGTACAACCAGAAAACGCCTTGTATTTATTGAAAAAAAGACGTTTGCTAAATGGTGGAGGTACAGGAGCGAATGACCCTGTGTTCAGTGTACAGACGACAAGTTACTCCAACAACAATGACTGTATGTAGCACAGAACACTACAGTGAATTTCAGCATACCCAATGGCCCTCCAGATGTGACACATGGATAATTACATATAACCAAGCTGGCCCAATGTAAGTTTAAAAAAACAGATAAATCCTTCAGTTCAGCTTTAAGTAGGAGAATGCTGGATCCTTTGTCTGCCTTTTATTGTTGTCCATTTTCCTGTTGTAGATTTTCCCTCACATCCTGTCTGGTAAAACATTGTCCCTACAACAGAAAGTGAGGGGAAATCTAACAGAGCCCCGGAAAGCAGTAACATCTGACTGTGGTACTAATCCTTCGCAACTATATTCAAAAGTATAAAAAGTTTTACCTATAGATACACTTTTATGCATCACTGAGGAAAAGAATTGTCTCAACAAGGTACAGTTTGGAGTTACTTTCATTCAAACAGACCATACGGCATGATCCCAGTCTTTATATAGCAGAAAACCTATTCTAGCATATTTAATCCATACTTTTTTTTAATGGAAAGTGTACTTTTCAATAAAATGTTTTGGAACACAAAAAAACCCTCAAAAAAGCGCCAGAGAGGACTGCTCAACCAGTATAAACCAATGTGCACATGAATATAGTCAGAATCAAAGTCTGTTTACAAATTGATAGATGAAATAAAAATTGGTGAATGGATAAAAAACACGTTTATAAACACGTTTATAAAAAATGTCTGTAGGATGCTGCCCCAAATCAGCCAGGGAGACTGTAAAATCTAGGGGAAAAACACAAACAAGGGGCGCCTTTCCTTGTGCAGACAAATTTATTAAGATCAGGATTGAAGGTAAATATAAAACATACTCACAAAATTCATGATTGAAGTATAAAAATTAAGTCCATGGACCCAAGGAAAAGTCTATGAAGTGAGTGTGAGTATGTTTTATATTTACCTTCAGTTTTGGAACACAAGCCTATAGTAAAATAAGATTGCATCGGTCTATTACATGGAGCATATTTATATGTAGCAACTAACTAAGCTGAAGTAACACTCAACTTGACCCATCCTAAAAGATATACGGGGACTGTCATTGGTAATCTCCCCTTGGAAATATTTGCCTGGCTATTTTTTCAATATTTTCAGCCATTGACATGGAACAAATGTGCAAAACAGGAGCTATGACTTCACCTTTGTTGGCTACATGCTTGTTCGGATCAGTGGCAAATGAAAAAATATTGAAGTCCGAGACAAGCAATTAGCATTTTTACGAGGGGCTTAGCAATGGCAGCCTTCAAATATCTTACAGGATGGGTTTAGGTAAAAAGTGCCCTTGACGTTTATTAAATGCTGTGTATAGGTGCGTTTCTTGTTTTTTTTAATGACGGTTTTCCTTTATAACAAGTGCTCTATGGGCCCTACATTGTACTATAACAGACCTCCACGGATGTATTTGCAGTGCTATGTAGAGAGCTCCACTATACAATATCCCACTGCCCTGTCAGATTTGTTAAAACACTTGTACAGCTTGATGTATCCATACAAAAGCATTGCATGATGGATTTCTGGGTATCAACTGGCCAGTGCAAATGAAGTGCATTTTTAATGGCGCAGAGCATTTATATGCATTAAAAAACAAACCTTCATATACTTTTTGAAGAGCAGCAGGAAAAGGTCAAAATAACTTAAATGAAACTTTACCATTAAATATCATATCAGGTTCGTGGGTTTTAATTTTCCTTGCATTCAGGAAATCTTGATATCGTCTCAGCTTGTTATTCAAAGACCATCTGTCTCGTTTTGTCACAGGCAGTTGCCTGAATATATTACTTGTGTCAAGAAGTTCCTCATGACAGCTCTCTTTCTACAAAAACGTTTCCTAAACACAAAGTTCTTTATTGTATATAAAATCAGATGTAAAATACCAGAGTATAGCAATTGTAGGGCCATCATTTGGATTTCCAATCCTAGGGACATGTGATGTGACATTTGCACATGAGAGCATACTTCTGGCACCTAGAATTCTTAGCAGCTTCTAAACTGAAGTTTTCGCACCAGTTTATATTTTCAGCATTCATCTCCACCTTAATCCTCACCTTCACTGAATAAATATAATACTGTGATTGCCAGTGAAAGCTGCTCCACCCACAGACATGCTAATTAACCATTCATTGTGTACTATTCATCTGGACCAAGACATATGGGGTATTGTTATCCCCTATATTGTATGGTCCAAATGTGATTCATAATTTATGTTTTTATCAAAAATGTGATTGGAATATTTATGTCCTTTGATCACTGGTTGTAATCATGTAGAAACTAATCTGGCAATGCTGCTTACTGTATTATCAGGCAATAAGGAAAAAAATATTTGCCATATCAGTAATGAATTTGCATTCATGCCATGGGACAGGGTTTTCCAATATTTGGTGCACATGTACAGCATAACGTAAAGTACACCTTCTCTCAAAAAATGTTTTTCCTGTAAAGTAGTTAGTGACTAGTGAGTGAAGCTTATTATTGTCTCACAAAGAGAACACTGTCCACCCCTGAAAGATCTCCCCAGAAAGATGACACCATCTTTGTCCTAGCATCATCCAAGGTGAGCATATATTTTCTGAACCAAGATACAAGGACAATATAACTGATGTCTACATAGTGATTAGCCTCATGTTCTTGGTTGTGTATATATACAGGCTGCCTCATGCAGCTCAACCTCCCTGAAGTGGCCTCTGACTCTATGACTTGCCAGAAAACGACTCTATAGACCAGTGTTGGCGAACATTTTGAACCCGAGTGCCCAAACTGCAACGCAAAATCAATTTATTAATCTTAAAGTGCCAAAACTGAAAATAAGTTTGGTATTGTGTTTTAGTTTGGGCACTGTGATTTAAAAAACATTCAGCATCACAGCATCATGGTTCTCCTCCTACCGACAAAAGCGCTCCTTTAGTGTCACCTACAAATCTATCTCCTCCCCTCCTCTTCCTCTTCCTCTTTCTGTAGGGGTCCCCCAAGGTCCAGTCCTTGGACCCCTTCTTTTTTCTATCTACACCACCTCTCTTGGTCAGGTAATAACCTCACATGGCTTCCAATACCATCTCTCTGCCGATGACACTTAAATATATCTTTCTACTCCACAACTCAACCCTTCAGTATCCTTGCGTGTCACTAATCTACTAACTGACATATCAGTCTGGATGTCACAACACTTGTTAAAACTCAATCTGTCAAAAACTGAGCTCTTGATATTTCCTCCCGCCCGTGCACCTTCCCCCAACTTTTCCCTTGAGATTGATAACACAACTATCCATCTCTCCCCTCCATGCCAAGGTGCTAGGTGTCATCCTTGACTCGGACCTCACCTTTCTTCCCCACATCCAATCACTATCCAAATCCTGCCGCCTTCACCTTCGTAACATCTCCAAAATACGCCCCTTCCTCACCAATGAAACCGCAAAATTACTCATCCACTCCCTTGTTATCTCTCGTCTTGACTATTGCACCTGCCTCCTCATTGGCTTACCTCTACACAGGCTATCCTCCCTTCAGTCTATCATGAATGCTGCTGCTAGACTCATTCACCTAACCAACCGCTCAGTGTCTGCAACCCCCCTCTGCCAATCCCTGCACTGGCTTCCAATAGCCCAAAGGATAAAATTCAAAATATTAACAACCACATGCAAAGTCATCCACAACTCTGTCTCCAACCTTGTCTCAAAATATCGCCCGAACCGTCCCCTACGCTCTTCCAAAGACCCCCTGTTTTCCAGCTCCCTTGTCAACTCCTCCCATGCTCGCCTCCAGGACTTCTCTAGAGTCTCTCCCTTTCTCTGGAACTCTTTACCCCAACCTGTCCATCTATCTCCCACTCTGACTGCCGTTAGGCGATCCCTTAAGACTCATCTCTTCAGTATAGCCTATCCCACCTCAACCTAACCACTGAACTCTTTCTCAAACAATTCATCCCCACACAGCTACCTCCTCATGTATCACTTGTCCCTCCCTATTAGATTGTAAGCCCTCAGGGGCAGGGCCCTTCTTACCATCTTGTCTTGAATTGTATTGTAATTGTAATGCACTCCTTTTATTGTAAAGCGCTGCGCAAACTGCTGTTGCTACATAAATCCTGTATAGTAATAATAATAGGGAAACGCACGCCTTCAAATATTTATACACTTACAGATACAAACACATATAATCACGCACATATATCACGCATTCATAAAACACACCACAAACTCATAAAACACACCCACAGATAAAAACACACCCACTGATAAAAGCACACAGATATCACACACTCATAAAAAAACACATCATACACACATACATATCACACACTCAATAAAACACAAACACATCACACACGCAATAAAACACAAACATATCACACACCCAATAAAACACAAACATATCACACACTCAATA